CAGTAGATCCGGTCGTGGATCCGGGTCAGTTTGTCCGTCACTCTGTTGGCGATGTAAGCCCTGTGGGACAGACAGACAGACAGGTGAGGTCACCTGGAACCAGCTAGCAGCTTGCAGCAGTAGGGCTAACCTCCTCACCCTGTGGTGGTCCGTGAGTCCGCTCCGATCACTACTCCTCCATCATACTCCACCGCCATGATGGTGGTCTGAGACACAGAGACACTGGTGTTAGTCTGTCCGATGATGGAAACACTCTGCTCTGGTCACCGTTAGCTGGATCTGATTGTTAGAGATCAGGAGCATCATGCTTCTATTATCGGACAGCCTCCAGCTAACGGCACCTTCTCATCCTACCAGCATACATGGAGTTAAATTAAATAAAATGATAACCAACAGGAGCGGAACACCTATCAGTGGGGAAGAAAACACCACAATGATCCAGCAGAGCAGCGGGAGCTAGCATTAGCCACAGCTAGCTGCAGCGGATGTGCTGTCTCATTCTGACACACTTTCTGACTTAAAACCGTTCTAACTAAGAACCGAACCGAGCCCAGCTGGACCCAAACCGGTCCATCTGACTGGTACCTACCCCGGTGCTGACTTCTTCACTGGTCCAGTTCGGAACCAGGTCGTTTTTAGAGGAAATCTGCTGCTGAAAGATCGGCATCATAGATGCTGTGGCCGCCATTTTTCTTTCTATCTGCTCAACACTGAGAGGCGAATCAGGTGTTCGTAAATATCGCCGGAAGATAATTTATGGGAAGCAGGTCCTGAATCGGAGAGCTCTAAAAAAACTCAAATAAAACAACAATAAAGCTATAAATATTACATTAGATAATATTTCACAGTATCTGTTATAAATACCACTATAATTTTAATGATATGTCAATATAAAGGTTTTGGGTCCGGCATATAAGCGAACAGCTGTGCAGTGGGGTCCTGACGAAGACAGGAAGAGAAGGTAAACACGGTTCCTGATTTAAATCAGCCTGATTCACATCGTTTCTAAGGTTTATTGTTGAGTTTTATTTTTGGGATTTATTTTTATGACCTTCCTGAATGTATGCGGTGTTAAATCGGTCCTAAATTCTGCTGTTTATTTCATTTTTGATCAGCTGATCGCCGTAACGGACCAGACTCTATTTAAAAACTGTCATATTTTAATACTTGTTATTTTAACTTTAAATAAAACACGGCAATAATAAGGTAAATCATGTATTTTATATTTACTGCATATCTATAGAAGCTGCTCGTTAATTCGGCTCACAGTCAGCCTCTCTGTGTCAGAATATTTCTGATTTATGGATTAACTCTGAGAATTATGCTCCAGATGACGGTTCATAATCTCTACATATTTGACCGGAATGGAAGCTGCTTGTTTTACAATGAGTGGAACCGGAAGAAGCAGGCGGGGATCTCTAAGGAGCAGGTGACGTCACCACCAGAAACACCCAATCAGAGCAGTAAACAAAGAGGCAGTAAACATCATCCTGTGTTTGTTTCTGCAGGAGTTTAAGCTGATGTACGGCATGCTGTTCTCCATCAGATCATTCGCCAGTAAGATGTCTCCTCAGGACATGTATCCTTTGACCTTTGACATGGGGGGGGTTACCTGATGTGTCCCCACCTGTCAGCCGGTTGTCCTTAGCAACGCTCTTCCTCCCAGGAAGGACGGCTTCCTCTCCTTCCAGACCAGCAAGTATCGCCTCCATTACTACGAGACGGCGAGCGGCCTGATGTTTGTGATGAACACGGATCTGTCCGTGAGCAACGCCAGAGACACGCTGCAGCACATCTACAGCAACGTAAGGCCCAGATTATTCCACCAGAACCAGAACCTGTCCCTGTACCCGGTCAGAACCGCTCAGCTGGGTTAGCTGCACCTGATCCAGGATGGTATCATCCATCAGTGATGGAGTCAGGATCTGCTTCTCTACTGAGGAGGATGATGATGATGATGATGATGATGATGATGATGATGATGATGATGGAGGCAGAAGATCTGCTGATTAGTTCAGAATCCAGTTTATTGCCAAGGAGGTTTAAAAAGAATTTGACTTGAAGATGCAGACAGATTAGATGTATAAAGTCACTGGTTGTTAGTTCTCCTACCTAGAATAATGAAATAGGTCATTTCCTTCATGGAAACACTTTAACTATGGGAGACAAAATTAGAAAAAAAATCCAGAAAATCACATTTTTAAAGAATTTATTTGCAAATGATGGTGGAAAATAAGTATTTGGTCAATAACTAAAGTTTAACTCAATACTTTGTAACATAACCTTTTCTGGCAAGAGGTCCAACATTTCCTGGAAGTCTTCAGCAGGTTTGAACACACTGTAGCTGGTATTTTGGCCCATTCCTCCATGCAGATCTCCTCTAGTGATGTTTCGGGGCTGTCGCTGGGTAACAGTCCCTCTACAGACCTTCAGATGCTTTCTACGGATCCACTGCTCCGTTGCCGGGGCGATGTGTTTGGCATCATCGTCATGCTGGAAGATCCAGCCATGTTTCACCGATGGAAGGAAGTTTTGGCTTAAAATCTCCAGCTCCACAGCCCCGTTCATTCTTCCCTCAACACGGATCAGTTTTCCTGTCCTTAGAAAAACAGCCCCAAAGCATGATGTTTCCTCCCCCATGCTTCACAGTAGGTATGGCGTTCTTGGGATGCAGCCTGCATTCTTCTCCCTGCAAACACGGCAAGTTTTTACCAAAAAGTTCTATTTTAGTTTCATCTGACCACATCATATTCTCCCCGTCCTCTTCTGGATCATCCAAAGGCTCTCTGGAAAACTTCAGGTGGGGGTGGACATGTACTGTCTCCACCAGGGGGACACGTCTGGCACTGCAGGATCCGAGTCCCTCTCGGTGTAGTGTGTTACCTGTGTGTCTCGGCCATGGTTGGGTTTGGAGTGGGACTGTTTGAGGCTGTGGACAGATAATGGGTTAAAATGGGTGCCACAGGTTGAATTCTTTTCAGCTTCCTGTTTAGGTCCTATAAGGTGATTGTTCCCCAGAGCATTTGTTTTTGGTAGAACATCTAGAGAAGAACCGCTTCTGACCCAAATAACTAAAGCAGAACCAGAACCAGTCAGAGCAGCCACTCAGCAGAAAAGAGTTCTAAGCAGAAAATAAATGGATCAACAGACTGAGCGGTTCTGATTTGTAAATCTGGGCGGTTCTAGAACCCAGGGACCGCCTGAGGAAAGGTTCTGAACCTTCAGTCCATCAGAACTCAGGGGTTGATTAGAGCCTCTATCATAGCCGTGAGGCAGGAGTTCTGGTTCTGACGGTACCGTCTGTGTTCCAGCTGTACGTGGAGCTGATCGTGAAGAACCCGCTGTGTCCGTCCTCCCAGACGCTGGACAGCGAGCTGTTCAGCAGCAGGCTGGACTCCTTCATCAGGTCTCTGCCGTACTACAGCCCCAGAGCCGCCTGAACGCACCACGCCACGCTCTACCGCTCCAGAATCCTGATCCAGCTCCGCCCACATCCTGGATCCCTCAGAGACCAGAGAACGGAACGAGGGCCAGGCGTTCGGACCGGACCTCCTTTATTTATTGTCTGGTTTTGTTTTTTATTAGAATCTGTCTGTTCAATAAAAGTTCTGATTGGGTCCAGTGGTTCTGTGGTCATTAGTCCATGAAGTGTTGCTGCTGCAGGGAACTGTTCTCATTCCAGAACCAAGAAAGAACTGAACCCAACCAGGAACCAGAACCAACCTCAGCAGGAGGCTGGGGACCCGCTGCTTCTGCTGACTGGTCCTAATGGTTCCTGTGGAGGACTGAGCTCAACGTCCATCAGGTTCTGAGTAGCTGGTGTCAGGAGGAACCGGCTGGACCAGCCCAGGTGGTCATCAGAACCAGAACCGGGTCAGTGGAGTTCAGGTTCCCTCAACCGAACAGGTTCTTGTTGGGTGTATTGGTTAGAAAGTCTGTTCATGGCTCTCAATGTGTTAGCAGTCAGAACGGTTCTAGGTACCGACCCGGTCCGGCTGCAGACAGGAGGGTGGTGGTGATGTAACGGGTCAGAGGTCCGTCTCTCATCAGGGCAGATTAACAGCTGGATTAATCCCTAATCCTGAGTCCAGAGGCAGATTCTGCAGAACCTCTGACCCAGATGCTCCTGCTGTGGGTCAAAGCAGAACCAACCTGGAACCACAGGCATGGACCGAGTTCTGCTGCTCATATCAGATAAACATTCGCTGTTTGGGTCGGCAGAATAATCCTGGCACCGATATAATCTGGTCTAATCTGAGAGGAACAGCTGCTGCTCACAGCTGGCTGAAGAGCACACGCTCAGAGAGGACATGTGGACACCAGGACTGTAGACACTCAGAGAAGATACTCAAAGAGTGCTGTAGCTGGTCCAGCTAACCTTGAACTAGCTCCCACTGGTCCTGGATCTTCTCCAAACGAATCTTCCTTTCAAGTCAGGTCCAGATGGTCGGGTCAGGTCCAGACCATCAGATCAAGTCCAGTCGCTCAGGTCCAGGTCCAGACGTGAACCTTCAGGTGTCAGAACCTGGTCCAGAGTTCTATATGGTTAGGAAAGTATTTCCTGGATGACGTCACATTTAATGTGGTGAATAATCTGATCTCATCAGAACCTAAAGAGTCCAGAACCACCAATGTCCCTAAGCCCAGCTTAATTAGAACCACAAACCCTGGTTTCCAAGAGAGACCAGTTAGACCTGGGTGGACCTGGGTAGACAACTGGGTGGGTCCAGTAGAACTTAGAAGACAGAGCTGTAGATCCTCACAGATCCAGAGATGTTCTCTCAGGGCCTCTGTTTGGATTGACATGTTCAGGTTCTTATCTTAATAAAGCAGAATAAATTGATCCATTTAATGGTTTGTTTGGTTCCGGATGAACAGTTTGGGTCCAAACGGACCAGCTGCTGTCAGACAGCACCTCCCTGATGGGTCACAAATCCTACCATGATATTAAGAACCAATCAGAGGGCAGCTTTAATCTGCTGCTGCTCATCATCCAGGGTCGGTCCGTGGTCCTCAGAGCGGGCAGGAGGCCAGGTCCATACTGTGCTCTCAGAGTTTGGGTTTAAATCAGAGACATCTGGGCTCTGATTGGTGGGATTAGAGCAACAGGATTAACGTTGGATCTGCAGCAAAGACGGCCAGAGGCAGAGGAAGGTGGATGGAAACGAAGAGAACGGCAAGGACGCTGCCAAAGGGACTGGGACCAGGTTATTCTGGACTTCTTCTACAGAGACCACAGCAGGGACACCAGCAGGTACCACCAAGGGGACTGGGACAGGTTCAGAGAGGACAGGGGCTAATGTCCTTCTTTCCATCCAGGTTAGACCATGTTTGCTGGCCGAGCATCGGCAGCTGGAGCTGCAGGACCATCGGCTGCCATGACTGGAGGGAAAGCTGGGAAGTTCACCGTGGAGGAGCTGTACGGGTTCACCAAGAAGCCAAAGGTGAACAGAGGAACCTCTGCCAAGCAGGAGAACAGCAACAGGAGGAAGGAGGCAAAGGAGAAGGATCTGAGGGACAAGGAGGAAAAGGAGAAGGAGGAGATGGAGCTGGCCTCTCAGATCCTGGAGGCTGCCAGGAGACTCATGGAGAGACGGAGGCTGGAGATCTACCTGAAGGAGTGTGACATCACCTTGGAGCAGAGCAGCATGCCCTACAGGTACGCCATGGGAGGGGGGACAGAAGGGGAACTTAGAACCAGATACCAGACAGGTGTGATCCAGTTAGGACCAGGTACCAGACAGGTGTGATCCAGTTAGGACCAGGTACCAGACAGGTGTGATCCAGTTAGGACCAGGTACCAGACAGGTGG